GACCATTGTCAGTTAACCTTTGACGATTGTCAATAACCAGCAATTACTGGTCAGTTAACCTTTGACGATTGTCAATAACCAGCAATTACTGGTCAGTTAACCTTTGACTATTGTCAATAACCAGCAATTACTGGTCAGTTAACCCTTGACCATTGTCAATAACCAGCAATTACTGGTCAGTTGACTATTGACCATTATCAATAACCAGCAATTACTGGTCAGTTAACTATTAACCATTGTCAATAACCAGCAATTACTGGTCAGTTAACTATTAACCATTGTCAATAACCAGCAATTACTGGTCAGTTAACTATTGGCCATTGTCAATAACTTGCAACCAATGGTCAGTTAACCAGCAATTGTTAGTCTGTCAACCCTTTACCAATGTTAGTAACCAGCAATTACTGGTCAGTTAACCTTTGACCATTGTTAATAACCGGCAATTATTAGTCAGTTAACATTTGATCATTGTCAATAAACCAGCAATTACTGGTCAATAACTTCAAAACATGTGAAAATACATTAGCAACTGACCAATAATGCATACACCAGTCAGTATGTCCGTCTGTCCGTCCGTATCTCAAAATACATTACATATGTATTGTACATGCTCACTCACATGTCTGCTATAGTGAGGGCTTTACAAAGCTAACCCATGTAAGTGCTATATTTATAACAAGGTTTTATTGTGTGTGTCATTATGGTGATGTCTTAACATTGAAACTAAAGAGTGTACCAGTTTGTGTCAGTATAGTACCATGTCTTTACAATGGAAATAAAGATTTACAAGTTTGTGTCAGTATAGTACCATGTCTATACATAAGGACTTGGCATTTATCAGTATGCGTCCACATAGTACTACATGTATGTTGTGAAATGAAATGATACCAGTATTTTAAAACACTAAAAAATAAATGCGGCTATGGACAGTTTCCAGTTTAACCGAGATTAAGGATTTTAACAACTACTTAAGAATAGTTTAACAAGAGTGGATAATGAAATAATGTAGCAAGTATTACTATAAATTGAAATCTGCTTTTTGTTATGCATTCAAGAGCTGTCACAATCTACTAAAGTATCACATCAGAGTTAATAATAGCATGAGTAAATATATAAGTTCATACATTCACCAAATAAGGTAATCATAAAAAATACATACATTCACCAAATAAGGCAAAATAAAGTACAAATATTGACAAAATACAGTCAATATACATACATAGCAAACAAGGTGAATATAGATGTATATCCATATAACCAAATATGGTAAAAATAAAGATACATATTTTTACCAAATAAGGAAAATATAAATTTAAATTTACCAAATAAGGTAAATAAAGGTGCATACATTTACCAAATAAGGTAAATATAAAGATATGTTAATTTACCAAATAAGGTAAATAAAAAGGTATATAAATTTACCAAATAAGGTAAATATAAAAGTATGTAAATTTACCAAATAAGGTAAATATAAAGATATGTACATATACCAAATAAGGTAAAAATACATGTATAATATACATTTACCAACTGAGGTAAAGAAAAATATTAATAAAGATATAAGAGAATTTCACAATCCCCCAAATAGCGAGAGTACAAGTTCATACATTTACCAAATAAGGTAGTTTCCCTTTCTATTATATTGGTTGATTACTTTTGTATTGGAACAGAAAAATTAGCAGCAATCTTGCATTTTGGATAGCCTTTTCTTGACCGTGGTCTAGAAATATTTGTTGCATTGCTGTATAGTGAACTTCGGTCATCTTCATCCGAAGGTTGCACAGGAGTGTTGTCACGGTGATGAAGCCCATATATTTTACCATCATTTGCATCAAGCCAGTGTTGATCAAGAGAACTTGGTCTATCTTTTGTGGACCCCATCATATAATCTGATAAACATAAAAACAGTACAGTTAGAAGAGTTGAATTGACTATTGAAGATAAAACATTAATATGAATCTATTATTCAGGACTTGAGAAAAAAGTTCTGCAAAAACTCAATTGTCCATTAGTGCCATGGCCACTCCTAATTTTACTTTTAAAAAATTATTTATTTGACTACACTATTGACATTTTGGAAGATTATATACTAAACCCTTTTTAAGGTAGCGAGAAGGGAAATTTTCACTTTTTTCTTGATTTTTCAAAAATTGATAAAACGGTTACTTTAGACCTTGATACATCATCCCAGGTTTACAAAAGATCGAAATTGCGAAATAACGTTGCTCAAATTAGTGTTTTAAAACACTAGCAGAAAAGACTACAACTGCCGTTTCGTGGATATTTGAATAGTGTTTATCTTTGGAAGGAATTAAATGATAACATCTTATCTGTATACTCTGTTGTTGACGATTCTGATATAACGGGTGATAAGCTTCCAGTTGCAAACAATGCGTGTTTATCTAACGTTCATTGTCAGCATTATTGTCAGTCGAGACTTCGTCGGAGAAACATGGTCATACAGTACTCATTTCGCCCAACCTTCCGCTTTTACATCGACCGCTTATCGCTTAATTTCCGACCACGCGGTCTTGTCCGACCGGAAACCGACCGCATTTTCATCGCGTTTTTTTTTTTTCGCTCGCTCGCTCATTGAAAACATTGACCGCTCGCCCAAACACTGAAAACTGGCACATGGGTGGTCGAAATGGTGGTTTTGATTGTAAAGTGTGAACATACAACTA